CATACCACTGTGATTTAACACCAAAATTTTAGAAGCCAAAATCGCCAAAAATGTTTGTTTCCCTTCATCTTTTAGTCCCCTAGATTAATATCATTGCGATCAAGGGGTTTAACTTAATATTCATCGCCGAAACAACTGTTTCCCACCAGTCCGTTTATCCTATAAACAAGATTAAAAAAATTTACATCATGAAAGGTTAACATATAACAAACAAGTGTACTCAAAAATGACTTGTGTAAATTAAAGTGGTTGTGGTGGAGTGGAAGGGACTCTTCCATCCTTAACCATAGGTCGAGGATTCGAACCACTTCACAGGAATGGAGCAACCTTAAATATTTTGGCCAGCTATCCTATCCAGCGAGGTGCCTATAATTCAGTAAGGGGAATTAGTCACTGTTGCCGACGATGTATACCATGCAAATATGAAATATATATATATATATATATATATATATATATATATATATATATATATATGACTTGCGTACAAATGGAAAATCCTAACATGTCAGCTTTCTCTCACTTTCATCAATAAAGCTGTTTTTTGTCTGCATTTATATATGTCAGGATTAAATTACTAATTACACTGCTTTCCTTCTATTGTTCTTAACGGAACTCACTGCTTTACTTCTTCAACATGGCATCATCAGAACAAAATTACTAAATAAAAAAGGTTCCTTTCGGGTATCTTTCCATTGAGAAAATCAGTTTGTTAGTTTATATATATATATATATATATATATATATATATATATTGTATCATCATCAGAAATATAAAATGCTCAACAAATTGCTGTCACCCAAAAAGTAGTTATTTGTTTGCATTCTGACACAAGGATTAAAATACCATCCATTCATCCTTTTGCTTCTCTGTGCAAGAAAGTAACCCGTCGTTTGCGTAGCTCAAAGAATAATTGTCTAAATAACTATATACTAACACGAGAGAGCCACGCAGCACCAATCACATATGATCGACCTACCTTTTCATGACTCAAGGGGATAAGCTATCCTTTCATCCCAAAATTATTATTCAGTTTGCATTTTTTCTCTTAATTCATTTTATACTAAAAGTGAAAACCCAAATTGAATAATAATTTTGGGACGGAAGGAGCATATTATTACCTTTGTCCAAAAAAAAATAATAATGGACATTGAATTTTGAAATTTTTATTAAATTAGTACAGATCTCACAACTCAATATGACTATTTTCTTTTGTATAGAGGTATTACTAAAAAGTTTGTTGGAGAGATTATCTCTAAGCCGTTCGTATATATTTTACAACTGTTAGAACTTTGATTATGGAGGCTTTATAGCATTGGTTCATAAATTCTCAATTTGATGATGTAGTGAAAACTGAAAAGGTTCTCTGATGAATAAAGGATTCGGGGTAAACAGAGAAATAATATAAGAAGCCAAGTGTTCCATTTCAATGACAAGAAATGAAAGGTACATATAAGATATATTTGCAACAAGTAGACATCTGCTTTAAGCAATTAAGCAGTATGATTCCAAGGGAACAAAGGAATATATATCTTCATATATATCTTCACAAACTTTGGTTCCCTGAAGGATGTGAAGATTCCATGTATCCTGACTACTAATTCTAAATTTAATTAATAATAAATATGCAGAAAGTAAAGAGATCACTTCTTGTAGTTTTCTCCATCACCAAAAACTACACAGAGCTACGACATAAACTAATACAAACAATTCCGATCTTTGGTTTCTATCAGAATCCATTCAAATCGATGGTAGTTGAATATTCTACTAGTTCAAATCGAGACATGATCGCCCATTCTTTTGCGAAATATGCCAAGTCTGCTTTTGTAATTGAAACTTTATAGAGTGAATTTCCTAGCTTTCTACCTCACTCGGTATTGGATTGTTTCCAGTAATCTGCATGTGATGGAATTATGCTTTCTTCCAAAAAAAAAAAAAGTATTCTGAACTGACCAAATTAAATTTGAGCAGAACCATAGTTTCTTCAAACAGTTTCAGGATGCAAATAGATAGGATTCCTCATCTGAATCAGGTACGTTGGATCCTGATAGCCTTTACTGATTTAACACAGCTTATAGCAGTTTGACATTGAAAATGAAGTAATATAGGGTGTCAGAATCATTAAATTAATTAAGTTGATATAAAGGATTAAAAGAAAATCCAACCCAAATGTTAAAATTTAGTTTTATATATACGTTTACGTAATTACGTTACGTACACCAACAAAAGCTGAATACCAAAATGCAGACAAGTTTCATGATAAAGTTACAGAAGAATAGTAGTACGTACGTCCTACAATATTGACATTTCAATTTCATTTTGCCGCCATGAAAAAGACACCTTGTTGCCCACCTCAAAGCTTTTGGTTACGAAGAAACTGATGCATTTACTTACGTTTAACAGCAGTCCAACTATATATATTGTAAAGAACAAACATACTTAAAACACATGTCGAAGTAATAACCTCTGATAGAGGGAAAATGTTAATCACTCGGAAAGTGTATTACAATACCATTCTCAATCAGTAATGGCCTAAATTATTACAAAAGGAGAGCCACCCAGATAAACTTCGTGCTTAACTAAGGAAACTGATAAACAGTAGTTTGTTCAAACATTTTAGAACTGTTATTATAACTTTGATTATACAGTAGTACTTCATGGCATTGGTTTATGATTTCGCAATAAGAATTTGGGTAACAGATCAAGAACTAATATAAGTTTTCAGGGTTCCATTTCAATGACTAGAAGTTAAAGTTTACAGCAAAACATATGTTTGCAACAGATTCCAGGGGAATAAGGAATATCTTCATATCTTGACAAAGTTTGGTCCTGAATGATATGGAATATCTGCGAACCTGGATGGGAATCATCCATGCATCCTTACTAGTGTGAAATTTATTACTCCCTCCCTCCTAAATGATTGTTTTTAAAATTTCACTTCTTTTAGTATAAACGACACAAAAATATAGAAAAATGCAAACTGAGCAATCATTTCAAGATAGAAGTAGTATGCAGAAAGAAACTAGTAATTCTCTACTTCTCTCCATCAACTACAAACAGCAACAACATTAACTAACATTGTCCATCTTTGGTTTCTCTAAGGATCCAATCAAATCCATGTTAGTTTTGTACTGCTAGAATTTATTGGAGCTAAAAAGGGCTGTAAGGTTTCAGTTGCTTTTAGTGCAAGCAATTATTTCGAGACTAATGGCCCTTCATATTGAACAGCCTTCTTTGAATTTCAAACGTACAATCCCTGGAATCTCTTATTAGCATTGATGTTCCAACATATTTTCAAAAAAAATCACCACTTCATATTAAGATGTAACATACCTTGAGTGGAACGATCGTTTAACAAAGAAACTGATAAACTTTTTGTACCCAAAAAAAAAAAGAAGTAAAAAAAAGAAACTGATGAATTTTAGTTACCAAGAAACTGATGCCTTTACTTACATTGAACATATGTAGAACAAACATAAAGATGGCATTATTTGACTGTAGGAAAAAATTTTCTACACATGACTTTAAATCTTCATAAAACCAACTTCTTTTTTTTTTTTTTTTTGTTCATTTCATTTTTCAACACATAAACTCAAAACTACTTGAAAAGTTTATATTACATAATATGTAAATTAATGTAGAAAAAATAAAATAAAAAACACATAATTGTATAGAAAAAAATATAGAGATGTTAAATTTGTCCTATTTTTGAAGATTCATTTATCTTAAAACATTTTTATATTTGAAATAAGAAAATTTAATATGTTCTATATGAACTGAACTTTATCAGAAATTGTCCAAAGAAAATTACAAACCCGGTGGTTAATTGAACCAAGAAAAAAAAATTCATAGGTATTCAATAACATTTTTTGTATTTTATGTCCGTGAAAATTTTAAATTTAATAAACAAAACTCGTGTGCTTTTGGATTCTTATTTTAACCAATACGTGTTACGTCATGTGTTAATCTTATGGGCCAAGCACAAAGTACAGTACATAGTTTTTAGATTTTATTGAGCCATATCATGTGTAATTTGTGTGGGTCAAGAACTTTGACCCACTAATCTCACTCAATAAAAGGAAAGGGTTACATCAAGTGAGGGACAACATCATTTCCTATTTGATTTTCACTAGTACTAGAATATGTAAATATCGATCTAAAGTTGGATACAATTGTGGAACTTTAAAATATCGATCTAAGGAAAGGGTTACATCAAGTAAGGGACAACTCCATTCTAAAATTATTATCTAATTTAAATTTTCATTTCTAGTACAAATTGAATTACAAGTAAAAATTTACGCTGAATAATAATTTTGAGATACGAGAATATTAAGTTCTATTAAAATAGTGATAAGGTCTGATATTCGGCTGCTAGGCCCAATTAATAGTACCATAAGGGTATGGAAGCCGAGCTAATAAGCCAAAATATTAACTGAATCACCAAATTATGGATATAATTTTACATTAATTGCAGACATGGTGACATTAGAAGGGAGAAAATATGTGGTAGAAGCAGTAAAAGAAATATTAATTGGATCACCAAACTACAGATTTGAAATTTGTAAGGCGCTGTAAAATTTTATGTGATGGGATTTTATGAAACCAGCACTAACTGCAAAGTTAGCAAGTCTTCTTCATTAGGCCTTCCTTTGCCTTCTGGATTTTGACCCCAAAATGGTAGCGTTTGTATCAACTGTTGATATTGGAATGTAACCAGCCCTCCAATAACACTCCTAGATGAACTTCTGAAGATCCTGTACACTCATTTCATTCAGCCTAAGATTTAGAGTTTCTTCTTCCATTGATGACATTTAACTAACATCTTGTGTGAGCTACCTTTTAACTGCCAAAGAAAGGTGCACACATGTTACCATATTTTGGATTATGGATGGTTGCTTGATTGACTCTCTGTTCAGCATGTTGAAATGAATGAGCCAACCAATAATCAATTGGGACGGTGTAAATTACTCTACCAAAGATAAGAATACTTTGCTTTACCTTAATGAGTAAGCTGAGGAACATCCACCAAACGTTCCATTTCTTGTAGCTGGTCATATGGAGCAATCTGCAGTTTCACAAGACAGCCAATAACACAAGGCAGAATCAGTCTCAAAAAATGGAATCTATTGTTTTTCTAGATCAGGAAAGATACTACTTACTCCTTTGACATGTCAACGAATTTTGATGGTGAAAATGTAGGTTACAGGTAGAAATATCTATTGGAGTATTTATTTGTTTAACATTTTTGCCATCATTATAATGAATCTGCAGTGAGCCTAGGACAATTGGAGGCCTGTACTACTTCTTTTCAAACTTCTGTGTTGACAACAAAAATTTATAGAAGCCGAAATTGACAAAACAACTGTTTCCTTCTATATTTTAGTCCCCTAGATTACCGTTTAATTTAATAGTCACCGCACCTGGCTAAACCCATCTGGCCAGGTTATTGAAACAGCATAATTTCCCATTGGCTGAATTTCTTCCGGTTCAATGTCATCTGGAATATCAGTGTATTTTAGCTTCTGTTCACCAGTCCATTCATCCTGTAAACAAGATTTATCACGAAAGGTTAATAACTAAGAAATGTACTCAAAGATGCCTTCCAAATAGAAAAATCAACATGTCAGCTTTCTCTCTCTTTCATCAATAAAGCTGTTTTTCGTTTGCATTGTTAGGATTAAACTACTAATACATTGCTTTCCTTCCATCGTTTTTAATGGAACTCATTGCTTTACCTTTTAATCCTGGAATAATCAGAATTAAATTACTAATAAGGTTACCTTCGGGTATCTTTCTATTGAGTAATCAGTTGGTTATGAATACTCAATGTGATGACATACAATGAAAAGGTTCTCTGGGGAACAAGGATTGGGGTAACAGCACTAATATAAGAAGTCAGGCTCCCATTCAATGACTAGAAATGAAAGGTACAGCAAGATTATATATGCAACAAGTAGACATCTGCTTTAAGCAAAAGAAATGGGATTCCTGGGGAGCAAAGATATGTTCTTTTATGTTTTTTTTTTTTTTGTCGTTTGGCATGAACAAAGATATCTTCATATCTTGACAAAATTTGGTTTCCTGAAGAACATGGATAACTGCAAACCTGGATGGAGATTCCACGTGTCCTGACTACTAATTCTAAATTTAATATGCAGAAACAGACTTGCTGTAGTTTTCTCCATCACCAAAGAACAGAGCAACAACATACTAACAATTCCCATCTTTGGTTTCTAAAAGAATCCAATCAAATCGACGATAGTCTTTTATTAATAAAGTCTATTTAAGCTAAAAGGGAAAGTTGCTTTGAGTTAAAGTAATAACCGTGGAAGTACTAGCCCTTCGTACTTACGTAATATGTTGAACACCCCTCTGTGAAATTCAACCTAACAATCATGGAATCTCATGGTAGCATTGGCTCCAATAAGTTATTTAATAAATAACGCATAATAGTAATTATGGCAGATTCTCAACATACCACACTTTGAGCAGAACGATCATTTCGTCTAACAGTAGCAGGATGCAAATAGAATTCCACATCTGAATCAGGTACCTTGACCCTGATAGCCTTCATAGATTTAACATAACTTACTGCAGTCGACACTGGAATAGAATAAAATATCATGGAGTCAGAATTAAAAAATTAAGTTTATAAAGGGTAGAGTGAATCCTGCCCAGTGTTCAAGTTCTTTCTACATTTACGTAATTACATTACACCAACGAAAGCTGACTCCAAAAAGCAGATAATTTTCATAAAAAGAAGAAAATTTTAATATTCACATTTCAATTTCATTTGCCCTCATGCTTGCGATCAAACGATATGCATCATGAAAGAGACACCTTCTGATATGTTTTAATTTATAACAAAAAAGGTTGACTACCGTAATGCAGGCAAGTTTTATATACAGAAGAAAAGTATAATATTCACATTTCAATTTATTTGCCAACATGCTTGAGATCAAAAGATGGGCATCATGAAAAAGACACCTTGTTGACGGATCTTGGCACACTGTTGTACTACGCAGACACCCAAGTCTTGAAATGTGGTTGCAATTTCACCTTGAGGGTCAGACACTACTTCAGGCACCCCACTGTCTCCAGAAGCAGAAAGCTGTGAATGCTCAAAGCTTTAGTTACAAAAAAATTTCTGTTCATACATCTAACAGATCTCCAAAGATGTAAAAAATACATAATACTCAATGCATAAAAGGGGTAGTCCTTCAGTAATATTTGCAATGATACCAGCATATAAACACTGACAGATAGTACTCTGGTGTATACCAATAAATGAATGAAGATAATACTGGAATGTAGAACTCCACAGGCAAAATACAGCACAAACAGATATTACATTAAATGTTCCCCAAAGCTAGAGAAGAATTGAAAGCATAAACAAAATCTAATTATGCAAGAATGATACTTACACTTGGTCGAATGGGAAGATCAAACAAATGAGGAATTCCAAACTGCTCAACAACCTGAAATGATTAGATATATGATTAAAGTGCGCTGGATACAGCAGTTTTGTATGCATGTTCAGAGAATTATGTTGCTTTATTGTATTTCTGGAAATAATTTAAGGTGTCAGCAGATACCATCCTTAATAGAATGGTGTAAAAAAGGATTCTGAAGAAGTGACACCTGAGAGCCAGAGCCTCTCCCAAATGGATAATACCGTTTCCCATCAGCATCGAAGTGGCACATATTCTCCACCACAGCAACACAAGGAACCTGATCGCATTGTAGCAGAATACATGACAGTTGAAAGTCTGGGACCCTTAACATAGTATTTTTGCACCAAAACAAGTTCTAGCTGATTGAAGATCTACCTTAAGTTTTGAAAACATGCGAACTCCCTTTGCAACGTCTATGAATGCTAGCTTCTGAGGTGTAGTAACAATAACAGCAGCTGTCAATGGAACAACCTGGCAGGTCAATTAAATATAACACGATATAAGATCTAAATTCTAAAGAAAGAGTTCAATTTGTAGAGAATTATTCATGAAGGGTACCAAGTGACTAAAAGAGAACCTGGCATAGGGTAAGCTGGATATCGCCTGTTCCGGGAGGCATGTCAATGACAAGATAATCCAGTTCACCCCTGCATATTTTCTCTAGGTGAAAAACAGCTGAGATTTACTAGTATCAAAAGGTTAATTAAAGTTAAGGTTCAAATTACCATTCAGTGGTAGTCAGCAATTGATTGATGACCCCAGAAACCATGGGACCTCGCATTATTGCGCGCCCTTGACCAGCATATCCAAAAGATACCAACTTGACACCCAGGTAGTCAGTTGGAATGATGGTCTTCTTCTCCGGATTCTAGCAGATGCATGTAAAGATTACAGAATGAACATGAAGCATTAATGAATTTCCAACAACTAGATGATTACCATTTCTAGCAGCCGATTTTCAGGGGAGACCATTGTTGGCAAACTGGGACCATACACATCTGCATCAAAGAGGCCGACTCTAGCACCCATACCAGCCAATGTATAAGCCAAGTTCACTGCCACAGTCGATTTTCCGACACCTCCCTGCAATTATAGGGAGTATCCCACATGAAATAGACCCCCGGAATCAACGACATAAACTTCCTCATTTAAAAACTAACTCATGGCACAAAAGTTGAGGACTTCTAACAGACATTGTCATACTCAGATGACTGCAACCAAAGAAGAGTCTAACATAAGAAATTAATTCCTTGTTCAAAAAGTCACTCGTAGCACAACTTGAGGATTTCGAACAGACGTAGCTATATGCAGATAATGTAATTTCAATATGATGATCCACTGTTGATTTTGTTAGCTTCAAATACTCTACTTTCCGAGTTTCCGAGAACTATCATTGCAATCAATTATATAGAGATAGAATTCTTATGAATGTTAAATTTGGACTTCGGTGCCCAAATCCACCCAACTTCAGCTGACAAAGAAGAATCAAATTTACAGATTACTGTCACTATAGATATCAGCTGAGTGGACTAGTACTGAAAATCTAATCTTGTGCACGTTTAAGACTTCTTGTAAATGGAAATTTTGACACATTATCATAGATCGTATAAACTGTATCTTCCCCCACTGGAGGTATACCTACTTCCTATATGCAAAACAGTTGCTACTTAGCATCTCTACTTACCTATGGATAGACTCTGCATACTTTACCTTGCAACTCGAAACAGCTATAATATTTGATATTGTCTGCAGACCTTCTGGAAGTAGACCAGCATAAGCAGGTTTTGCAGGTTGTGCAGACATTGTGACATTAACTTTTTTAACCCAGGGAAGTGCTGCAACAACCTCATTAGACTGCTTCTCAAACTGTAAAAATGAAACATCAATTATGTGCATGCCTTGTCAATTTAAAAATAAAAAGGACTAGATTTACTGTGAGAGATTAGAGACGGGTGCAAGGATGTGAAAAAAGAAACCATTCTAAGTGTGCCACTGTTGCTATGAGGAGTTAAAAAGAGAAAATCTTAAAACAGCTTGCAACGCCCCTTTCATTGAATGACTAACTAAATTTAACAGAAGCATATAAAAACACAACTTCTGAAATCACACAGTATGTACTACTTGATACAAAAATCTATTCAAGGTCAAATAATGGTGGTTGTTTCATTTACCACGTCCTTGATCGGACATGCTGGTGTAGTGAGCTCTAACCGAAATGAAACCTGAGATCGAAGTGAAATTGTTGAGTGAAGACATCAAAGACAATAGTTTCAGGAACTGTAGTACTCATAACTTTTTATCTTATAAAGACCTCTCCAGAAGTTTCATTAACCAGAAGATCCTTGACAAAACCACATGAAACAATGTCCGTTCCAAAATCAGGATCAATGATTTGTGACAGGGCTTTCAACACATCAGCCTCTGCTGTTTGAGATGACAATGCTGATGAATGAGCTGAAATATTTCAAAATACAGTGAGACGCAACAGCAACAGCATTAGCTGAGAAAAAAAAAAAAAAAACCAGGAAGGAACCTCTAGTGATGAACAAATTTGCAACAGTAAGATAAGAAAATAAAAGGGTGGAAAGATCCAAGCACGTTCGAAGTTCAACCATGATCTCATAATAAACCCAAAGCTACCAGTCATCTCTTATAACTTTAATTTCCACATTTTCCATGCCCCTTAAATTCAAGAGAAAATGATATATATAGTGAAAAAAAAATAGTGAAAAAAGATAGTGAGTGATGTGGAGTATTCTTGGCACTTAATTTTTTGCCAATTTCCGGTTAAAATTTTATTTTTCCCTGTAAATTACATTTTTTCCGAGTACACATATTTAGTAAGGATGGTGTATCTGTCTTTTTATTAGTCACTATTCTATTTCACTATAATTTGTCACCGTCACTATTATTGCTCACAAATTCAAGAACCCAAAGAATTTCTTTGAGTTGAAATCAGTTCATCAGAATTCATCCTAACAGGGCAAATAGACAACATGGAACTGGAAGACTGAATTGAAATTGGAACAATGTAGGAAGAACCAATCAGATGAACTCAAACCAAACATCCATAAGCTTATTCCAGGAGCAAACCCAATAGATATAACTCTCGGTCCAATCTCATAACCATGATAGTGCATCAAAATGTTTAATTCGAGAAGAAGTTCGACTGACAAAGTAGAATAAAATTCTGGGCTTTTGTTAGGAGGAGAAGTACCTTCAACAGAGGCAGCATTAGCAGCGGTTGAACTCAAATTTGAATGACTACAAGAAACCCACAGAGCTTTTACATTTCTTCGATTCAGAGAAGAGCTACATACTGCATGCAAGCCTGCATAAAGCCACCAACTTTAGTGTACGTAAAAAACCAACTAACTTCGTGCCTCCATTGAAGATAAAGTCAGAGCAAATCACAAAAGTTAACCTGGTTTTGATTGCGTTGTGGAGTGATGAAATGTGAGTGTTGGAGAAGACGAGGAAGCCTGAAGAGAAAACATTTCACTCGCGCAATTTCTCAAGCATGTAACGGTAGAATTTGAGGATTCCTAAGTTATATGGGATTCTGATGAGAAATTAAATTGAACAAAATGGAGAGAGCTTTTTTGCTCAGACGAATGGGTAAGAAATAAGAAGGGATGATTTGAACCTCACATTTGAATGCCACGTCATACTTTAAGAAATGAGCGGGCTCATCACTTTCTTTACTCAGCTGCCACAAATTCTACAGACGTTGACTCATTTTCTGAGACCGGTAAAATTGATCATTTGATGCACTAGATTTCCTGGTTAGGGATTACTTCAAAACCAGAGTTTGTTTGCATTCAATGTCACTCCCTCTGTTCCAAAAAATAAAAAAATTATGTTTGTTCTTTCAACAAACACGACCTCTAATAAAAATCGTTTATAATAGTATCGCAAGTGTTTGCCATACTCCTTTCATTTAAGAAAAATAATCCACCTTATTGAACTAAAACAGTACCAGTAATATATAGATTGTTTTTCCGGGACGAGAGAAGTACCTCCATCCCTCTCTGCTGGAGCTGTTACATCTTTCTTTTGAACACAAAGGTTATGAGTATCATCTGAACCAAAGATGGAATTAATGAATTATGGATAACCGAAAGGTCTTAAAAGCAAGTTTAACATTCTGTGAAGACTACTCGAAGTAAGGATCAGAACCAACATTACAGAATGGAACTTTGACAATTACTTCAACTTCTCTAAGAATGTGAATAAGAATTGGAAAAATAGCATTTGTTCCTACAATCTGGCATCTCTTTGAAACTAACGACCTCTTCCTGCGCCGAAAATAACAATCAGTGCCAACAGCAACCTGAAATCTTCTACTGAACCATCTTGTCCACAAAATAAATGGATCACTTCTGATGGAATCTAGATTTTGGGAAAAGAATACATGTACAATTAGCAGCGAAGATGATCAGCAATAATAGTTTATCAGAGAGATGATAAATAATATGTTAAAAAACTGTTGATTGTTCATCCTGACTGCATCCGTTAACTTAATGCCAAAGTTTACTGCAGAAACCGTTCCGGGGCCTCTTGCTTGATACTATATCAGTAAACGCATCAACCAACTGTCCTGCCAAGCTAATTGGTTCGTCAATTAGAGTTTGTATAAAAGTGTTTACCACCCTGCGTTCTTGCTCTGTTGATCTCAGGCTGAACCAAGTAAGCAATTTCAATCTGAACTCCTTTTCTATGTAACCTTCACACTCTAGCCACCGAATGATCTTAACACAGTACTCAAAACTCTCTTCCAAACTGGCTGACCCATTCCGAGCACGAAATGGTGATCCATTTATAAGAGTACTATCAGAATCGTGTGTCTCTCCGTTAATGCTAGCTGGCCTTTTCCTACTTGCTTCAGCCTTAGAATCAACAGCAGGCACCTCCCCATTCTGCACATTGTTCCAGTTATGAGAGTCCCCACTACCATGTGATCTTGCCACACCATTTTTGTCGACATCATGAGAGACTGCATCATCATCTGCCCCAACAGTTCGCACCAAAGTGCATCCATTGTCTTCATCTCTTGATGACTCAACAGGAGGAATCAATTCTTCATTTAAATCAGGAACTGAAGCAACATTTAAGTCAAGCTCGCGTGAAACAGATGGTCGGTCTTCTTGTAAACTCTCGCGTTTGGCACACTTACTACTGGAACAACATCTAGCAACATCTCCACCACAGAAACCTTCAAAACAGCCTTGCTCTTGAGCCCAAGCCAGTCTTAATATCTTTCCCAGGTCCCTGACCTTAAAACCAGAGTCAGATTCAATAGCTGTTGGTGTTCTACACTCCACCTCTGCACTAGAGCTTCCTCCAGAATCTGGGTTTTCCTTCCGATGGTTTTCAGTAGCAGCTATTACATTCTTGTGAATTAATTCTCTGCTCTTGCTGAAACACTTTGCCTCAGAGTGTCCCAAATCACCCTCTTCTGTATAAGATACTATACGAAATGAATATTCTGTGCATGGCTGGAGATTCGATATTAAAATTCTTCTTTGAGATCTGGGAAATACACAAATAGGTTCTTTTGGGTAAGTTTCTTCTCTAGTTTTACAGTACCAAAGCTTGTAGCCCTTGACAACATCTGAAGATGCGCCTGACAGCTCTATCAAGACTATCACAACTGAACTGGATGTTACTTCCTCAAAGAGGAATCGACAAGCAGCAGGTAGGGAACCCTCTGCAAGAAAGGCACAAGAAATATCAAAAGAAGAAAAACACAATTTATGATCATTAGCAAAGTTATTTTCTCCAGACTCAAAAAGAGAGGAAGGAATTCATGAAAAGTGGAACCTTTGCCAGCCGCAGCAGCAGTAGACTTTGTGGCCAGCCACTCGTCAGCTTTTTCAATGGCTAGGGAGCATAGCGTCTGGACATTGCCTGCAATAGAAAGCCTGCTGACAATTCCTCTAGCCATTTTGGCAGAAACTCCATTTACAGGACCCACCTCTGTTTCCAACTTGGCCTTGGCTTCTTTAACAATTTCATGAAGTTCTTTAAATCTGGAAGTCCCATCCAGGAGCCTGTAACTCAGAAATATCCTATAACAAAGGGCATCCACTCGTCGAGCATCCTTCGCTACACTAAGTTGCTTCTTCCAGTACCTTCAAAATCATTATAAAAGAAAATTAAAAAAAAAAAAAAGAAATAAGAAAGCACATAGGTTTCAAACTAGTAAACTACAACTGCCTCATACTATTCGCGCCATTTTGACATTGATTCACTGATACAATTGTCTTTGTTTCAAATCCCACAAACGCAGGTGGCGATGACTTTACTAACAGTCAAGTGTATAAATGACATGATAAAGGTAGGAAAAAGAACTGACCCCAGTATGCCTGAAACTTTGCCACATGCAGCACAGCAGTAGCTTCCATCTAGTTGCATCAGTTGTCCAAGATCAACTACACCCACCTTTCCACGTTGGAGAGCACACTCAATGTGACAAGATAAACCACAGTGGTCACCCTGGCCAGATTCAGAGGCACATTCTAACCAAAGGCTGGGATCTTTATTGTCATCAAACGAGTGGCAAATGCAGCATGAGCACCGCCTGCAAAAAGTGTCTTCCACGGGAATTGTGGCACGACATGCAGAATTCTTACACATCCATGAATTTGAGCATTTAAAATCGGAACACTGCTCAGTAGTGGGGGGAATGCGAACAGGATTCTCAGCCTTTCTGCTCTGCTTTTTTGCAGGTTGGTCCTTAGGACTTGCACTGGCTTTCTTTTGATCATGGTTTCTCGATGATTTTTTGCTTGTCTTTGCAACTGGTTCAGACATTTTGCACTTTGATGAGGCTGATTGTTTCTTTTCTTTATCAAAGCATGTATGCAATAGATCCTTTTTTGCACCAGACTTTATTAACTCCGGAGGCAACTTCAGACTTCTTGAAGCATCATCACAGGGACCATTTTTCTCTGGAGTGCTTTGCACACTGGAAGACAGACTTCGAATGCCAGAAACTGTATACATAATTATGGTGAAGATAAATACACAGATACCAGGGTGGTGACTTACAAAAGAAAGGAAAAAGAATCTGGAAAAGAAACCAAAGGAGGAAAATGCAAATGAAAAATAAGTAGTTCTTGAAAGCACCTTCCAAAAGGAAAAAATGTTAAGTAATCACATAAAACATAACCCTTCTCATGTGCATAAAATTAGCCAGATCTATGAAAAAAGGTGCAAAACAAAATAAAACAAAACTGTGGTTTCTTTAGAGTGCAGATTTTCTAGGCAGGTATATAATTCAGTAAAATTCATCCAAAACCACAAAAATAACAATAAAAGTGGTTGCTCTCGTCTATTGGTTTCTCTTACAACCAATGTTGAAGTTGGATGACTACAATATCATCTACTCTGAAAGAGCAAACGAGATTTTCGCCGTGAAAGTGGTCACAGCGAAAGCAAAGTCATTGACTAGAGTGCCAGTCATTGGAATCAGGGTCATGTTCCCAAGAATTGGCTTATAGTAAAGGCCTCTCTAGGACCTGAATAACCTATCTTATATAGACTCTATTCCCACAGTTAATGACCCCTTGAGATAAAACTGGATTAAAAAAATCAGAAGAATTAAAAAGATATTTCATGATTGCAGAGAGAAGAAAGTAACAACATAAAGTTGATCTAAAGTTCAATTCTATAATTTGGAACAACGTGAGATAAGAATTACAAGAAGAATGACAATGACACCTTGTTCCAATCCCCATTCACAAAAACGTGTGCCAAGTATGCATTGAAAAAGAGAAGTTAATGTGCCACAAATTCATACCAAATCAATAGCCTTCGTATCAAGCCAAATCGCAAATTGGTATCAAAGGAAATAAGATATATTGTAATCCATCCTGAAATTCCTTGTTAATAGAAATGAATGGCCCCAAATGACCAAGATGCGCGTAAATGACATTTTAGATATACATTAGCCAGCTGTTTTGTCCATATAAGCACATTTGAGTCCATAAATAGCTTCACTCAGATGTAACAAGATTTTCAGCAAAACTGTACATTGATTATCTTTATCTAAAGGAGGAAAAATTTGTCCTTATATTTAACATGTGCCAACATCAGTCATCAAAAAGTAAAAAATTAATAAAGGAAACATGGAACTAAATGCTATACCATATTTAGCCCCCAATAAGAGTAAATATCTCTTTACCCACTGAAATGGGAATCGAAAAAAAAGAGGTCACCAAACATCTTAACCTGAACATATTACTATGTTCCCAAAGTGCTCAAATCTCATCACTCAGATTAATTCCTAACATTACTCCGCTTTCCTTTATATCACCAAATTTGATCTTTCTTCACCCGCCTTTATGGTCCAGGATTATTTTCCATCATTGCAACACACTAAACACGTTCACACATCCTTTGACATGCGCATTGACACATAATTATGCATAAGATGGTAGTAAAATTTGATTCGAATCCTCAAGATCCTTCAAGCTTTAAAAGGATTGAGATCCTAGCCTTCACACCATTAACAATGGCAAGCCCATAATCATATATTTGAAAACATTGCAAACCTGATTAGCTATGTGCAACACTACTCATTGGCTTTCTCTGTTAAAATGGGCAGAGCATTAATATTCCCTTTCGCGATAAAGATCGTAAAAGACATAACCCACTATGGTTGCTGTAAAATCCAGGAAGTTAATGTACTTTATCAATATCCTTTGTCCAAAATTATTAACTTGAACGTCAATAAGGCTTCTTCTTAAGTCTTAATACCATATCACAATGTGGTTTCTTACAACAAAGGTTTCCCCTGGCTACAGCATAGTAAAGACAACTACTCTACTAACAGGGAAAAATTTTGTATTCCCTTCCACTATACGTGGTACTTAAGACATTAGCAAATATAGGATGATCCAAAGAAGAATTAAAAAAGAAATTAAGGATTTTTGCCCCTTTTCTAACCAGAAAAATATGTATTTTCACAATGATTATAAGGTAGCCAAAAAAAGGGAAAAAAAAACATTTAAGGATTTAAACTCTTGCCCCTTCCTAACCAGAATAAAATATTTTCGCACAAACAAATGCCAGTTTAAGAAAGGGGGAGTCTCCACAACCAGGTAACACACAAGCATGATGAAATACATTTCAGGAGAGCCACACCCATCTATGCCAGAGCAGCACTGTTAGAATCTTACATAAATACAATGCAACAACTGTCTCACCTTTACCAATAAATTTATCTTCCACATCCATGCTGTGAGCCAGTGGATAATGGCGTCAATTCAATCCCCCTGTAAAATTCATTGGACTACATTTCAGCATTTTCCATATACAAACCAGACTAGTCAGCTCACAAAATACAGAAATAATAATGATCCAACATTCAATGTAAGTGTGCGAAATTTCCTTCACATGATGTTTCAAGCGAGGCAAACAAAACAAGCCACCAAAATAATCAGAAAGGGAAAGGTTAAGAGGCACCAATTGGTAATTGGCACTGATGAAGACCTTCTAGAAGTAACAAAATCAGATATTAATGTCCACAGCATTGTGCTTTAAAGAACACAGCCACACTTCCACAACCACTGAATACATTGATAGGAGCAAATAAAGAGAAGCAACATGAACCACATCAAGCAGAAAACAAGCAGAACTTAAACAATAATAAGCCATCAGGGGAAAAAAAAATTTGAAAATTCAGCATCTTCCAAGGTTTCTCTGATACTAAAGTAACCACACATTGTCCAAATTCGGCCCAACAATGCCCGATTACAAGTCGTCAAACTCCATGGTTTTCCGACCGCACCCGGTCAAACCAGCTCCACAGCACAATAATTAGCCGCAACCCCACACAAAAAATGTTCATAAAACACAAACACACACTCCAATGTTGCCGAAAATTCGGAACAACCCGAAAAAGGTCGCATAATTCATCAAAATACTCCCATAAACCACAAATTTAACGCAGAGCATGAGAGAATTACAACAGATCTGACCGCCGAACCACTCAACGCATAATCTACGCAACAAAAAATACACAACAAAATACAATTACAGAGAGTTCTACGCAAAGAGGAACAATGGAATAGGAAAAAAATTACCTCCGAGGAAGAGAAATTTAGGGTTTTTGGGCCACCCGAGGGGAGGCTTTCAAAGAGGGGAATAACACGACGAATGAATTCTGTCTGGGAAGCTATTTTTGCTTGTTGTATGTTAGTTGGAGAAAGCGTACGAAAAAAAAAAATTATATGTAGTATTTTTTTTGGTTCGATGCGTTCACGCACGCTAACGGAGGAGTCACGCGCCGCGTGTGGAGCGTGGGGCAGGATGATTCAGTTGAAAAAAGTGCAGGAGTTGATACGATGCGTTTAAAGTACAGGTAGCACCTGGCAGTGTTGTGACTTGCTCGTGTACACCACGAGCCAATACGGCAAGTAAAGATAAGGTCTCAAGTTGGTTTTTTATCGCTGAAATTCATCGTATTAGTGCCGCTCTTCTCGCTTTTTGTAATATTATTATCTTTGTTCTTCTACTGATGGTTTAATTTCTTAAGTACTTTAATAAAACACTCTTTACATTCCCATTTAGTCTATGTTCCCCAAGTATAATTTTCCCCGGAGACATAATGGCACTCCGCGTTTGAACTTCATTTTTATTATCCCGGTATTGTTTAAAAAAATTCCCAACTCAGGATTCTAAGCGGTAAAGTGGTAAGAATTCATCGATTCTTATTCTTTTTAATCAAATTTTTAGTGTTTTGAAACCGTCCACATGGTGCCTCCATAATTCCCTTCATTTTATTTTATTGATAAAACTGCAATCGAAATTGGTACACTACTAGTCTACTAGTAGCAGACGGAAAAACCATTTTTAAAAATATGTGAATTAAATTGTACTGCAATTATGCAACGGTACTTTAGTTGTCACATGTCACAAGGGTATAGTATTATTTATGGAGGGCTGGCTTGCCAAAAGAGGACTAGGGCTGCCTATCATTAATAAGTCACTGTCTCCTTTAATGGAGAGCTTTAGGTCTTTAGCAAAAAATATATATACAAACATACACAAAAAAAAAAGGCCGGGATTATGTTAAAATCCTTTCGAACTTGAAAAACCAAGTGAAAGATACTTATACCACGTTGAAGTTGGGAAGCCTACTTGATCAACATATATACCTCATGTGCTACACCTTTCGTTACTAATTGGTTTTGAGATGGAACCATATGTAAGGTTATATGGGTCTTCAAGAGATTATTTCATTGGTTGGATGGGAAAGACGAGGTAATGGCCGAGAGGGACGTGCATGTAAAATCATATATGTATGTTGAGTGTCAAATATTGACCCAAGTCTTACGACGTGCATGTAATATGTAATTGAAAACATGGTTTTATTTTTACCATCTGGTTGAACGCGCGTCCGAAGTTTTGAGCGTATGGAATGAGGTTTTAGCTCTTTAACTCACCGTTTTGCCATTGAAAATGTTATCTTTATGTGTTTGTCTCACGTTTTTCTTTTTTCCAATTTGGTCTTATCTGCGACGTGTTTAGTTTAGGTATGAGAAGACGAACCAAAGTGGAAAAGTCTACAATGCGGTGTTTGACGAAGACTGAGATAAAACTAACCATTTTGACAGCTTAAAAAACGTAAATCGGCGGCTACCTAATAAAGAAGAAACAACTTGGAGTTTGAGTGGAAATCTCCAACAAGCTTTGATCGGTTCTTCTGAATTCTATACAAAATTCTCACGCGTTTATTGGGTTTTTGTTTTTTTTCTTCCAATCTTTCATGCAGTATTGGAGCGTGGAGATATATTAGTAAGTATTAATAAATCTTTTGACGGAGATTACTGATTAGGACGTCAAAGACGAAAGAAGGGTAGTTTCGAGCTGGATTCTATTACAGCAAAGCGTTGAAGCACTAATCTTATCAAAGGCCATGATCCCAAATTATACTTTTTTCGTGCACTAACCACCCAAAAGCCGAATCCCAAATGATGAAACTTTGCGGATGAGATACATACTTTTGCTTCACATTTACGTGTTGTTGTTTGTTCTACAAAAAAGTATTTTTTTAAGGGGTTTTTCCCTCAACAATTCTTGACCATGAATTTTGTTTTGTTAATCTCTTGGCATACAATACATGATAGGCGATATGTATCATATATTCCCTCCATCCCGAAATTATTGTACATTTTAGATTTTCAGTTTTAATTCAAATTGTACTAAAAATAAAAAAAATCCAAATTTGATAATAAACATGGGATGGAGGGAGTATAAGAGAAACAAAGAGCTTAAAAGTTCTAGCAGACCACACCGGGCAACAGGAATATTTTCTTGCATTTCAACATGTGGCGATTGCGGGGTGATTAACTCACATTCTTGCTATAGAAACGACAGCCCAAATCGTATATACTTTGGAATGTAATACAAGCATATAACCTACATGGCTATACATAAAAGTTATTCATTCACAAAAAAGTTGGGTTCTGGAGAGAATCTATTCCATTGGGTTTTAGTTGCATTGTTTTGAGGACCGGTTATATCATTCGATGAAAAAGGCAGCAGCCTATTCCGGAAAAAAAGTGAAAGAAAAAAAGAACGGGAAGAGCACTCAGCCGGAATGCTCTTGCTTTTTTGGCAGTGGGTGGGTTGTAAAAGCAAAGATTTACACTATTTTAAAACACTCGGCCATTCATCGATCAATCAATAGTATATAGTACTGTTGTACTTGACTTGGCATGTAAAGCTAAAGGAGTTAAGACTTTGAATGGTACATCACTTCCGCTTAAAGAAAAGATAGTGGTTAATTAGGGGGAGTTCATTGGATCGTGTAATTCCTCCTCCATCATTATCGGGAGTTCCCCCAAATTAGATGTGGGGAAACTAAAATGTCATAAATCTTAATCAAGATTTCACAACTAATCACAAGCAGCATTGGCGGCTAGGAAGACATTGAAGTTTTTTTTTTTTTTTGATGGCTCTAAAAGATTTATTCTATGTCAAGCCAACAATAAATAAATAATGTTGATATATGCTCCTAGGCTTCTAGCATATTAGGTCCCGAGTTTGGAGTACTTTTTCATGGTTTTGTGCTCTTTCAAAAATCATACACAAGTTTGGATTGAGTGATTTTGGCCAAATACTGTACATGTTTTTGTTCGCCATCACCATCACTACCACCACCACCAACAACCAGTCGCTGGGCACCACCGATTAGAGGTCCGTTGGGGAGTATTCGCAGTTGCGACAAAGACAGCGGTACAATTATTGTTTTTGTCCAAATAAACTTTTCAAACTAATCCCATATTCATTTCAAACCTTTGAAATGACGGTTTCTAATAACTCGGGCATCCATCCGTAAGCCTTTGCCTCCACCTTTCGCCCCAACAGAAACTAGTATTGGAGGAACTAGCCCAGTTGGAAACATATAGCTCGATGATTCAAAATAAGAATGCACAACTTTGGATTTAAGATTTTCAGATCAATTCCGTCACTTGTTACCATAAGCTTAATGCAAAAACTCTGTAATCTATTCTTCCTTTTCAAGAGACCACAAAAGTTTACCATATAATGCATGGGATTTTGCCTCTGGTTTGCCCAGATTACACACTCTCCATTATCCCAGAAAAGAATTGTGTTTACCAAACCAAAGATTTTATTACTAGCAAGACTGCTATTTTGGAACGGCCATATTACTAAAGACCGCATGAAATGACGGGGTAGAACCTCAACCAGCTAGACTGTGAAGATGATCACACAGTACATACAACCACCTAAGATGAGTTGGTTCAACATGAGACTATTTGAAAAAGTAAACAGATCATTCAAACCTCAACTAGTTTTTAGTCTAAAACTAATCAAGTGAAATTCACAAAATACTTATAACAGAAAAGAAAAGAGAAGGCAAAAAAGAAATTCTCAACAACTAGACAATAATAATGGGAATAAAATAGATCATAAGCAATTTTTTCCAGAGTTATTGGAAAACGGGGAGTATAAGATAGGTACACCTTGGAACATATATATACATATTACAAACAGAACAAACTGCTTAATCTAGCACCTAACCGCAGCTTACAGGTGAACGCCTTTTATGGTAGCTAATGATCAAATTGATAGACCATATCCTGTCTCAGGTCCGCAGGAATTATTTCATTCAGTGGGTGGAAGCATTCTCCACGGAAGACAAATTGGTAACTATATTCAAAAGAAACAAGGTTAACATAACAATTAAAGACAAAGCTGAGCATCTAAGCAGAAACACAATGATTGATAACCTGGAAAAGCAATTAATACTACCACGCAATTCATTGGTAAAAAGCAACCTCAAATTCAATCAGTGGGTAATGCAGACATACTCTACAGATATAGGAAAGGAGAATTGGGCACTTAACCAATTCAAGTCAGACTATCCTACTTTCAATCATCATAATCATAAACAACTTATTGTTAAAAAGTCAACATACACATGCCAAACTGGGTATCAATCTTGAAGGTGAAGTTATCATCATTAAACAAATTAATGATTGTATCTATCCAGGCAGAAAGAAAATGGTAAGAATAAAGAACAAAATCGCATAATGAAACTACAGATGAGACACTACACTTCAGGCCAATACCCAAAATCCAAAAGAAGATTGATTGGAAACATGCAACATAAAAATGGATATTAAATCGACAACTCCCTGACTCCAGCGACCTAACAAAGAAAGACATAATTTCAGGTTCTCAACAACTCTAAAATGACTCCAGCTACCTTACCAACAATGTCACCAAACAGAAAAGAGAAAATAAATGGAAAATTTAAGAATTATATACAGTACATTTCTGCTTGCTGTTCAGTATTAAAAAAAAAAAAAAAAAAAAAAATCATCTTTGAAGCAATCCGTGATTACTATCATCAACTGCTCATTATTTACAGAACTTTGAAACAACACGGAGATGCAGCAAAATATCCAAATTCCTTCCAAAACTTGAACTAAATCAGATATGGCTCTAGGCTATTTGTTGCATAACTTCAACAAGTAACAAAGGCCATTACTTATACTATCACGCACAGTTTTAGCCACAGCCAAAGGAGATCTACATCCAGCTTAAACAGAGCTGGACTTAGAAAAGGGTTAAACAAGCCACGCACACAAGCCCAGGGTGAGAATGTTAGCGCCAGCGAGCACAAATGGCCAATGTAATTGGACATCTTTCGGGCCTAAGAAATTCAATCTGCTATCTCATTCCTCAGTTTTCTTAGATTTAGTTTACTCCACTCAACAGGTAATCACACCTATCTTTTTCCAGTTCGACTATGTCCATTTTCCCATTCCCCTATTTTTGTGAATGTAGTGAGAATATTTCAACCATCATCTCAATCTCAAAACCTCTGAAAATTCAACAAATGCCCAGCTTTGGGTGGATTTTATGTGTAATTCAAATTTCAAACTGACATTAAGTTGAGTCCAGCAGGGAGAATGATCAACAACAACAACATCATGATCCAGAAGTAATTCAGACACAAAGCAAAGTTATCTATAACACACACTTCAATCTCCATATCATGAACAAAAAACAAGCGTACTGTAATAGCAAAACGGAAAAGAAAGAAACTAAAATTATACCTCACGAAGAAGAGCGTTGGCCATCACATTCTGGGCTTTCGTCAAAATTCTTAGACGGGAAGCTTTTGGTGATCATGCCAACCTCAAAGGTCAAATCCTGTCCATTGGATCGGATCCCAGTGATGCCCCACCATCTGAAAAAAGCCCTAACCCCAATCCCATCAAGCTCAGCAATACGATTGTCCACGATTTTACCAGTAATGGTTTTCGAATAGGTGGCCAAGTAATTGTCGGGAGGAATAGTGATGCGACAAGTGTCCCCCAGCTTCACAACGAAGTTTCCCGAGGTGCGGTTGAGATTGTAGGTCACGATGTTCCGAGGGAGCAACCCGACCGGGAACCCGTAACTGGATAACTCCGAGTGCGCCGCCGTTAAAGTGGGAGCCGTGGAGGAAGCGGCGAAGGTGCAGAGGTAGCAGGCGGCGACGGCGAAGGTGAAGAGCAATGCTGCAGCAGAGTTCGCCATGATTTTGAGTTTGGTCGGATCGGGTCGGGCGGGAACGGGGCGGTAAGCTTGATGAATGTGGTCTATGTATAAAGTGATGACGTGCGGCTGTGTATAAAAACTTAAGATCGTGTATATTCACAAGAAAAGATACTAATATCCGCAGTTCTTCTCGGTTATGTTTGACTTTTTTTCTTTTTTTTAATATTTGAAGGGTGTTCTTCGTCGACAACCAATTATAATATAGAACTCAAGGTGTAACTAGTTTGAAATTCACGCATCCAAAAACGGGAGAAAAAAAAGGGAGATTTTTAAATTTTTAATTTTCGGATATTCCTTCTAATTTTTAGCCATCATTAATCATATCCAACTTCTTATTCCAATCCAGAAATGTCTCAAACAAAAAAAAATCCAACAAACCAAATATTCTCTGCGGCAATTTGGCATCTAAACCTCTCGTCGGCGGTATTTTTGAAGACGGAATTCGATTGTGCGTCAAATCCTGTGAGTTTGGTTGCAATATACGCTGCTTAATATGAGAATTACGGTAAGATTTGAGATTATTCATCTGTTTTGTATTTTGTCCGATAAATATTGTTTGAAATTCTCAAAATCTTTCATGTAGAGAATCAGTTTTATGTGTTTACTCCATGGATCTAGTTATAATAATGATTTTTTTTAATACTGAATCATCCATGTAGATAGCAACGATTGAGGATCCTGGTTCAAATAGAAGCAGTTCGGAAAATGAAGATGAAGGAATGTAATACTATTAATTTATTCAACAATTGATACGTTTTTTGGATGGGTTTTGTTAATCTAGGGTATATGCATTCGATTATAGATCATTGTTCATCAATTTTTAAGTTTTCTTCATCGTATTTGCTGTGTTTTGTGGAAGATATTAATAGATCTGGGCATTATTCATTAGTTGGTAGTCAATATTCATCCTTGAAATACGTAGATCTAAGGTTCCTGCATTCGTTTATAGATGGTTGTGCACCAACTTGTTAGATTTGTTCATCCATTAGTTGTTGAGTTTGAAGGGTTTTCTATCATTTCACTAGTCATCAGTTACGCAACCATTATTCATCGATATTAAATGGTTATTAATCATAATAATTGCGTTACGCGATTGTTATTCATTATTTTAGTTGTTGATTATTCATTATTTTAGTTGTTCATCAACTATAGTTTAACTATTCATCAACTATTCTTTGTTATTGAAATAGTTAGACCATATCTGTCCATTATTCATCATTGTTGTTTTGATTACTCATCGTTATAATGTGTAATTAGGGGTGAAAATGTGATTTTTATAAAAAAAAAAAATTCTATATATTTATCATTGTATTGTGCTTATTTATTTTTTTGCTTTTGTTATTCATTGTTACTACAACAGTATTGCATATGTAAGGACTGAATATTCATATGCTTGTTCATTAGTATTGGTATTATTGTTCATCAGTTGGTGTTCATCATATATATATATATATATATATTTATATATATTTATTTATCAAGTGAATTTTAGTTATTCATTACATACGAATGTGTTATTCATTTGTTTATTAATATTGTGCTTTCTCGACATAATGCATCAGTAAGGATAGAGGGAAACAATCGGAGGTTGAAGCAAGTAGAACCACTGGAACTGCAAAAATCCCATCACCAGCTGAAATGCTCATTAAGATAAACTCGATCGGTCGGAAATCAAATATTTTGGTAGATTTGCTTAAATCAAACAATCAACATAAAAATATCGAGTATCGACGAATTATTCAAGACCTTATATGTTAAAAATAATGACTATTTTTTTTTTGTCTAGTATAATGCATACTTAGAAGTTTGTTAAGTTAGTTGCTGACATTAGTTCATTGTAAAATATATTCTCATTAGTTTTTTTTAATCAAAATTATTCATTCTGTTGCGTATTATTCATCCACTAACGACATTTTATTCGTTCATTAAGTTACAATTATTCATCTAACAAAACTATATCTATTCTTCATTCTAGTGTTGTTATTCATCTAGGATAGGATCATTATTCATTAAAATTTATTTCGTTATTCATTTTTGTAAATATCGTTATCCGTTTAAAAATTTAAATTTATTTATCCATAACTTGATCATTATAAAAACACCATTATTCATCAACAATATTGTAACAACCCATGGCTAATCGGTCCTATTTTTTTTTTTTTTTACACTTATCAACATATTTCTAGATCGATGACTCAGGGATGCTACCGCTTTGGCTAACCGCTAAAGTTATCAAAGAAAAAGGGTCGTAATATAAAATAAAGAGAATATTTTATTAGATGTTAGCAAATGCCAAAGAGTACAATATTATAGGTCTCTTATTTGCGGAAACAAGGTAGGTAACACAACCATAACCCTACCATTATTACAAACTTATAAACTAAAGACTAGCGTAACAATTCTATAGCAAGCACTCCTAGATGTGATAATCCATCCTGCTCTACTCTCCTCGTGACTCAGCTCCTGGGCAGGATATTTATATAAAATAAAGGGGTGAGCACCGAGTTCAGTGAGGTCCATACTATTAGAGGTTCGTACTTTGAAACAGAATTAATCAAACATTTTAAAATATAGTTATAGGAACACATAACAGATAAGAGCATATTATTCCACACAAGCAATCGATAAAAGCAAATTCAAAGGCCAAAGGAAGAGTTTATCCAAAAGCCGATATGGCAAGAGTGGTTAAACTCTAACCCTAGCCGATTCCATTAATTCCATTCAGGTTGTAAAAACCTGATAAGCTGTCAGAAGGAGCGACCTTTCTGACTAGGTATCAATTTAACTCAATTTCCACCCAACACGCCATGTCGCGACCGGATATCTCAAGAGAATCTTGAACAGCCACTATTGGCAATGGACATGACCAAACCCTATGCCGGCTCATGACACATTTGCTCAACCAGTCGCCTCGGGCTCTTAAGCATGCACATATAAATGCAAACATGGCTTATAACCACACAGAGTTCCACATTTATCAAACAATCAAGCCGAATAACAAGTTAACTCAACAAATAAACCCTAAGGCGAGTAAGATACCTTTAGGCTCAATATCAATATTCAAAAAGACTTTTAAATAATGTGTTCGTGTATAGTGTCTTTTCAAATATATTTATACTCTCAAGTTTTGAAATAATTTAAGAAAAAAGTGAGGATTACTCACAAGTACTATTTATTCGGAGTTGTCACCTCCGTAGAAGTGTTGCATGGAACACATATTGAATAACACTAAATAAATACTTAAATATTATCAATAATTCAAATCATCTTAGTGTATATTCTTATAGTTTTACTTTTATAGTTGGACATATACATTTAATCGAGAAGCCATAATTTCTTATTGATTTAAAGTCATTTAACTAATATTAAGTCTTATAAAGTTTAAGATTTATTCTATAATACCTAAATCATTGTCTAAGACAGAAATAATGTCAACTTAACAATCTAATAAACGTTTTCATCATTTAAAACTTAAAACGTTAGCTTTTATACTAAGGTTAAGAGCGAATGGTATTTCAGAACGTTTTTTACGACTTTATTTCATCACTAAAGAACGATTCAGAGTACATATTATATACCATTGGAAAGCTATGAGAGTCTAGATTCTAACGCAACAAACGGAAACTTTTCTATAAAGAGTTACGTTAATTTTAGCAGACACGTGCGGTTCTGCCGACAGAAAAACGGTCGTGGGCTTCAAGAGTTCCTGATCGAATTTTACTCAAATAAATCTAACTTAAGCTTAATAACCATACTAAAATGAATCTATTAACAGAAAATGCTTTAATACTATGATAAAAATCATCATCTAATAAATTTATAGCTAAACTAGAACAAAATTTCTTAATTACCTCTATTCGGCAAAAAAAAAACTTTTCTCTACTGTTGTTGCACCTAGCTTCTTCTCCTCTTGTCTCCTTTTTCCGGCCCCATTCAACTCACTTACTCTCTACCTATCAGTCTATCTTTGAGGTAGTATTTTTGTTTTGACTGTGGGTGAATCACTTAATCTATGACCTCTATTTATAGAGTTGAAAGGTCCTGCTTGTTTCACTCCCTACTCTAGTTTATAGGCTTGCTGCGTAATGAGTTTTTAGAGCAGCCACATGCTGCGGTTTCTTCTGCTTAGTCACTCCAGAGATGACTTAGTAAGCTGCTTGTTTAATCCTTCTTGCTCCCATGGTGATAAGCTCCTCTCACATGTCCTTCCTAGGGTGCTTACTCAACACTAGACCTAGGGAGTGAGCTGCCTGATTTGTACCATTTTTTATTAATGTCTCCCCGATTCCCACGTTGATTATCCTTAGCTGAATATGCAGGCTCCTTAGTTTTATTTTTGGCCAAACACGTGAAGTATTCTATCTCCTAACTTTATTGTTTACCATTTTAGCCGTAGGCAGTGTCCCTTCCCCCTTCCTCTTTTATTTTTCTTTTTATGATGATGATGACTATTACTATATGTTTTAATTATTTAGTTAAGGAACAATTTATTAGTTACTATCCTAAAATCAAAGCTTTGGTTTCTTTACTTACTTAAGAAATAGTGCCTCTTTATTTTTGCTCTAAAACTAAGTATATTATTTTAATACACTACAAGTTATTTAACCCCTAAACCCTCTTAGTTTAGTTTGAAAATATCTTAAATTTTATATTATAAAATCATCTATATTTACCTTCATACGACTATAATAAGATAAAATAATAAGGTTAAAATTTTAGGGGTGTTACAAATATTATCATTATTCATCGATAAGTGTATCATTATTCATCCAAAAAAATATCGTTATTTATTAAAATCTTTCAAATTTGACCTTTAATTCTCCATATTCCATTGTTAATCAGTTAAAATTTTTTGCTACAATTGATTCTCCAGATTCATAAGTTTCGATGATGAACCATATTCAATTTTACCAAAATAAAATTCATCGTTATAAAAAAAAAATTCTCATAAAATAAAATAAATAAAAAAGCTAATAGGATAAGATCTGGAAGTTTAAAACGTGTGCTAAAAAAAAGTCATAAAATCTTGTGATTTTAATGCAGTATTAATGCGCGTGTGATATGGACTACCAACTCTACTCTCTTTTGTCAATTTCGTAATACACACACCTCTTAGGTACACATTGCTAAGTATACATAAGTGCTTGTTATTATTTGCTTGGTTGTGTTTGACTTGTATAACGGATATTTTTATCTTATTTTCTTTTGATAATTGATCCTTTTTTCTATAGTTGTTGTAGATAATTATTTTTAGTGGCAAAAGGAATTATTATTAGCTCTGTTAGTTTCTAAGGTAAGCAATGGGATTTTGATATAAAAAATAAAAGGTAAACAATGGGAGACTTTTTTATATTTTTTTTTCCTAGACAAGAAAGATAATGATTTGCGTATGAAATTTTTTTATGAAATTTTAATGAAAATAAATCATAACCGTCTATACCTATAAAAAATATTTATAAATTTTAATGGGGATAATTAAAACTTATTCACATTATTCCTTATAAATTTTTTTGTCAATTTTTTTTTCACTGTATCACCAGAGGGGAAAATAAATAGCCTTCAACAAACGAACCAACACAATGCCTATGTGAATCAGACATACCACAATCAATTGAATAAGTGAGGAGAATAGGTCAGAGGAGTTTGATCTGGGGATGATTTCATGGTAGATACTAATCAATTGAGTCAGCAGCCAAACCTTTTCCAGAGGAGCAGTCAGATGGGAGTCGAATTGATGACGCCAAAGCTATGGATGAGATGGCGGTATCAACTGTCCAAGTATCCTTTGAGGTTAGGGCTCCAATCTCAATCAATCTTCCCGTATGAGTTCAATCGTTTGGAATGTTCAAGCGGTTGTTTCGAATAAGTTGAATAGTGATAGAGTACCTTATGATAGGGCACTGAATTCATTGAGAATATCCACCTCCAAAATGTGACTGTTATTTAGGCTTTAACCTTCTTTAATATTTAAATGAAAAAAAAAAACAAGACATACCACACACACAAAAAAAAAAAAAAAGAGAGAAACTTCCCAAATCAATTGAAGAAATACGGCAAATCCCAAACAAATGCAACATCAAGGAAGAAAAAAGTACTCTAGGAAACTTTACTGGGGACTCCAACCATTAATTCAGACAAAACTCACTATTTTGCTATACACTGAAAAAGATCAGATAGATTCACTTATTACATCCAGTCAGCCGGACCGTAAATGGCTATAAATATCATGTCATAATTAGCAGGCTATACTGAAAACTTTTCCCGATGCTGGTATCTAATCCCTTCGGTACTTGAAGAAGCTAAGTAGTACTGGTTCAACTTGTGAGTTATAACGGAGATGCTAAAGAAGAAGCAAGCGCAACAACCTGTAACCTTTTAGATGTCTACAAGATCCGTCCTAAAATTATTGTCTAGTTTGGATTTTCACCTTTAGTTCAATTTGTACTAAATATGAAAATCCAGAGTAGACAATAATTTCGGGACGGGGAGCTTAATATCATCATCTGCAGCAGTACTAGCGGCAGCTCCACCATGATTAGGATACTTTGATGATAACCCACCTGGTTTCACATGATCAGTACAACTAACATCTAACTTTCACCATTTCAAAAAAAATCATCTAACTTTCAAAGAAGGGCTCAAAATTTGTTTATCTTCCTAGTTCTCTGACTTCTTGTTTTCAAAAGGGCTGCATGCTCAGTGCTTAAAGATCATCACCTCTGCACAATTAAGTACAGTCAACTCATCATACAAGTTGCCTACTGCAAGATACTCCTCTGTCCCAAAATTATTGTTCAGTTTAAGATTTCATCCTTAATACAATTTGTACTAAATCTAAAAACTCAAATTGGACAATAATTTTGAGACGGAGGGAGTATAAAACTTGCAATTCTCTAAAGAAGTCATTTATTTCCCACCAATAATAGGAAGCAACCAGCTAGATAGGGAGTCCAAGTTCAGGTCAGAAAAAAATACAGACAGACAGACGAATAATATACCAAATAAAGGTGATGGAAGGATAGATATATGGGCTTAAATGTAAGATATAAAGAACATCCAGAATATGCATTGAAACAGAAACCAGAAACATAATTTAATGAATAATAAGTAAAGAAGAAATTTTACAGCACTGGCTAACACGAGTAGAAGAAGACTTGCTAAAAAGTAAAAACAGAACACGAACTAAAAGATGCTCATTGCTCAATTGCAGCAAAACCTAGAGTTTACTCTAAACTGAATTGCCGAATCCTTAGAGTTTGTTTCAGTGGTTTGAAGATCCAAATCTTAGGCTTGTGTACTCCTCGCATACGTAAATTGGAACTCGCAGTATTTTCCTCTTATCTCCGAAAGAATATTGCACCAAATTACACATCTTTCTGACTTTCTAGGCTCTCCATTGTTGAGTCATCGACATGTGAAGAGCAGGATTTGGATTTCTCACAGATTTAATGTGCTCATACAAGGCTCCTCCCCATGTAGAGGAGCAGTATGCATCTAAAATGGATGAACAATAGATGGAAAATGATGTCTCATAAAACAGGATACTTTTGCAATTCAAGCTGAAGAAGCTCAATACTGTATATAGTCAGTAAGTTAACGCCCTGAAGTATATAGGCCCATGTTGTACAAAGCATTCTCCTTCAACATTGTTTAATCGAAGTAACTTACTAAGAGAAGAGTGAACATTATTCTAATTGCGACTTAAATCAGCACTGACGTAAAACAATACAGCAACACGAGACTTCAGAAAGCATATCAGATTACAGTACAACAGGTGTCCAGTGGCAAGTCTACTTACCAAGGAATGAAATGAGATCTGCGGACAAAGATGCTTCTTAACATGTGGTTGAACACAATCAAAATGCCTGAAAAATGGTTATCATACAAAGTTCAAGAAAAAAGAATTGAATCCCGACTGACTGAACATCAGATAGTTGTTCGTACTTTTAGGCAAGAAAACAACCTTCTCTGCTACGAGAATCCAACAATATTGAAGGCTAAAGAAACATGCAAAATTGCATGAAATGAAAATAAGATATATCCCTTTTGGTCAGGGGCAAACAGAAAAGAATTCGTCCCCACAGGCTACAAAAAATCCTCATCTAAAGTGGAATTGGAAGTAGTAGCGGCCACGTCAAAGTAGTGGTTCGGTTCTGGTTAAAACTCAAAGCAAATTGCTTTAGTTTAGCCTGTCATGTCTCCAAATGTTTAAGATGTGATGTGTACTGTTAAATATGCAAAGACACATCATGGTTTCTCATGAAAGGGTCAAAAACCATTGGAATTTGGAGGTAAGGTAACTTCCCTGTTAGCTTCCTTATATTCCAAAGTCCAAACACCACAAATTAGAAATTGAACCCCACACTGTCCACACACATCCCCAAAGGAAAAGCTTTCAAAGCTACAAATCTACAATCCATTACTGACCCTAGCAGCCCTTTGTTGACAAATTCAAAACCATTTGAAAAAAGCCTGCAGCCTGAAATTCCAACTTCCAAGGTCTTTTTTATTTGAGCTAGTTTCATCAATTAATTTCTTGATGCAATTCAAATGGTCCATTGGATTCATCGTCTGACTTCTTGCAATCATATTAATTTCATGATGAATTATAGATGAAGAGACATCTCAGGCCGAACTTCTGATGATTCTTTCATTAGGCAAAACAGCTGGGCAACAATATCACAATCAGGAATCAAGAACTTGACAACAAACCAAAAATTACTAACACTAAAACTTGATTTATTATATGAAGAAAAGGAAACAAAAATATGCAGATACAAGCACCTACATATTCAGACTTGATCAGACAGACACTTTACATAACTCGAAAACAAAAGACCTACCACTATAGCTTATTCCGGGCATCACCCGCATCATATCATCTATCATTCCTATCGACTTCTTCCTAAACAAGCTCCTTTGACATCATAATGATTTCATAGGTAACATCATATACACCCACTCTACATAGGTACATGACTACTACTATTGGACTTTAATCAACATGATTCAGAAAATGAAAACTTAAACGGGGTAAAAAAAAAAAAAAGCAAAGATGGGAGATAAGAAGAGATGGTAAAAGACGGTAGCTTTGCAATCACGGTGGCGATTCAATGGCTTCCCCTTGAAAAAATAAGGGAAGTTTTCCCCATTTGAATCCACCAACTGAAAAGACACCACAGCCGCCTTGTATAATCTTTCTTCCTTTCTTTTTTTGCTCCTTGCTTTCAAAAGACATCCTGAACACAAACTTTCTTCGGCGGGTCAGGTCAGGACAGATCAAGTCGGAGGAGCTTCAGCAAATCATTTGTAGCATCACTAGTGGTTGTAGCAGTATTAGGATTCTCCAATTTCTTCCTAAAAAAGGCCGGAACGGGGAGTGAACTGGGCGGGGGGGAAGAAACATCTATGGACAACCCAGCATAGCAATCGGAAAAACGGATCTGCTTCCGGAACATAACGGGTTCCGCCTGCGGACCCATCATCCGATCTGGTACAGGTGGTGTGGAAACCGACAACTGCTCGTTGAAATTGACGGCGGCGTAGACGCGGCTAGATTTAGCCGATGCCGGCGGCGATTTAGCCGATGGGGGAGACGTCGGAGAAGAGGAAAGAGATTCACCCCGTCTCAAAATCTTAACTTGGCCCATAACCAACTTACTGTTGTTGCTGGCGGCGATGGGTCTGGCGTCAGACTTGGGCTTTGGTTTCGGCTTGGTGGCGTTAACTTCCTTGGCCGGAAAAGCATCCTTCTTCGTAGGACTCCTCTTCCGTGCAGATCTACGGCTATGGTTAACGCTGTTAACGGCCCAAGCCGTGGGGTTAGAACTAGCAGGAGTAGTTGGGTTAGTAACCCGGCGTCGAGATCTCGTCGCCGGGAAAATCAAACTACTCCGTTGGTGATTCTGGTTTAATACATCTTGTGGATGAAGAACTGCTACTCCGGCTGCCATAACTTCTATACACTTTTCCTAATTAAATACAAAGAGGAAAAAAAAGGTTAGATCTAGAGGTTCTATAGTCAGATCTAAAGGTTTTTTATGCCTTTGTTAGAGGCGGTGGAACATGGAGGAGATAGGGTGGTGAATGTGGTGGTGGTGGGCGGCGCGTTTTCGGAGAAAAATATGAAGTGAGAGAATGAATGGGAACGGGAGTTTAAATAATAGTAGAGAAACCTAATAGGGGAAGAAAATAGGAAAGAGTCGGTGTATTAATGTCGTTGTGTCGTGGCGAAGACGGATTGGTTGACGCGCTTTGGATGCTTTCCTTCGTCCAGCCTGTATTTTATGGAATATTACGTTAAAACCTAACGATGATTAGTATTTAGATTATTTATTAAGGATGTTTTTTAGGTTTGATTTTTTTGAATGATTCTTTGTTTCTTTTCTTTTTTTTATTAGGAGAAAGAAAAAACACGCATATAAAAATTTCTCAAAGGGTAAAAAACCTATTCTTATTTGGGACCATTAAATAATTAAATATTCTGTCAAAAATATAAAAACGGTGAATGAGGAGTTGGTTCGGCGGTAACACTACCCTTGCTCCAAGAGAAGATTATGAGTTCAATTTCCCATTCCAACAAAAAGTGAGAGGTTGACTCTCACCTTGCCTATTTCTAGTGGGGTTCCAGGCGTTATAATATATATATATATATAAATATAAACGCTTCTCATTTTACCCAACCAAATTAGAAGACCGTCGACCATCATCATAGGGATGGCCGATGGGGGGACTTTCTTCGAAATTGTGACGGAACGGAAAGGTTTTGGTCATAATGCGAACTTGAAATGTCGAATCTTGGCCGTTGATCCTGTTGAATTCACAATTCCCAAAAACACCCTCATATAAAGCACGACCCAGTAAGCATATTTTTTTTTATCACGTCTACATCATACTATTTTATTTTAATAAAAAGAAATACTAAGAAATATGCAATAATAAATAACACAATTACATAATCCTTACGATGATGATACACGCTAACCGAATTGCCTTCTACTCCGAGCTTGAATTTTGGATAGGTTTTGCTAAAATGGGTAAACATACTAGTACTCCTAATAATTTTCATTAAAGCCTTGAAAGTTGAAACTCTTAAATTCCTAAGCTTAAAGTTGGATTTCAAGAGAAAACGATGATGGAAAGTACAAGCATAACATGTATTGACACTACAATCGCACACTAGCTTTTTGCGTTTTCATTTGGGTTGGATGGGGCGGGACGTAGAAGTTTTGAATGGGCGTACGTTTTATAAATTTAATTGATGTTTTCTTGTCACTCAATAACAATTTTAGTAATATGAAGTGGTGACCGGTGACTAATACTATCACTTAGGTGTCCATTTAAAGGATGTATTGAAAGTTAGAAAGTTCAGATTTTCATTTTGAAGAAAAGCTTTTAGTAAAAATTTCTGTTATGGTTTTTTTTTTTTTTTGGTAAAAAAAAAATTATCTCTTTGTATGAGCACAAAAACCAATTTCTCCTTGATTAGGTCGTAATGACGGTTGGTTAGGTGGGAGTTATCTGACAAGGAGGAGCCGAGGAGGTAGATACGTAAAGTGAAAAAATCTTGTTTCAAGGTTAGTGGCCTTTAATGCAAGCCTCTTTCAGCTGCACATTTCATTGGGTTGATTTGGACTTATTTATGTTTGTTGGGCTCTGATAGACGCTACAGTTTTGAGTCCATGTCAATGGAAGGAATCTCATTTCAAGTTAGAAATGAGGAACTTAGTGGAGAGAATGTTTTCTCCGGAAGAGGATAAATGGTATCAAACTATCCCAAGGCGACCTTGATTGAAGATGCTCCATCCCTTTTTACTAGTCAATTCTATTGAATTAAAATAGTACTCCTCTGTCCCATAATTATTGTCCAGTTTTACCAAAATAAAAGATTTTATTTTTGGTCAAATTTAACTATATTTTACCTTAAACAACCGGATATACCCCTACATAAGTAATTGTTTAACCATTAAGATTTTATGGATAATGTTTTTTACTAAGGACAAATATGTAACTTGATCCATAAAAAGTCAAATTGGACAATAATTTTGGGACAAAATTTTTTGGGCAAAGTGGACAATAATTATGGGACGGAGGAAGTATAATATTGTAACAAAATATACTACTACAATAAGATAGCAAAATACTCTTAATCCTAAAATGAGATGGAAAAATACTCTTAAACCATGGTTCTTGCCGAAGGGAAAAATGGGTGTTAGGTTCGGTAAAAAAATTTTATATAGTTTCTGGAGAAAAAATTTATTTATACTCGATCCTTTGAATATTCAAGGTTGGTTTGCCATATGCGGTTCAATCTAATAGACCATGTGCCAAGAAATAGCTTAATTATTTTGCTCAATTAGTTCCAAAACTTCAAGGTATTCTTTTTAAGGAACGCGAAACTTTATTTGTATTGGTCATCACTGAAGAGGAAATATTATAACGCAAATAAAACTATTTTCTATTTATTTTGCATGTCCGTTGACTTTATTATTGGCCTCTAATATCGACGATGAAAACATCTCTACGAGCAAATCGCGTCCACATAATCTCAATGATCAAGTTGAGACCTTCCACCAATGATTGTCTATATGAATTTGCATCTCCACCAACTTAATCATCGGCCTCAAAAATCTCAACGACGAAGTCGACGAGTTCCGACAATAACTGTCTATATGCTTTCTCATGTCCGGAAGCTTAATCCTCGGCCTAAAAATCCAGATAACAAAATCGACAACCTCCAACAATGATGTCTACATGATTTGCATGTCTGCAGACTTGATTGTGGTCTCAAAATCTCGACGATGAAATTGACAACATGATTTTATATGTCCTTTGTCCTTAAAATCGTGGCGATTAAGCTGATATCCATCAATGACTATGTTCATTATTTAGTAAGTCCATCGAATTTATTGTTAGCCTTGAAATCTTGACGAATAAGTCCACGACTTCCAGGCTTGTAGCAAGGACTGTAGATATGATTTTGCACACTCGTCGGCCTGATTGTCGGTCTCAAAATATTGACGACAAAGTCGACAACACGAATTTTCATTTCCGTCGGTGTTATCATTGTTTTCAAAATCGCAACTATAAAGTCGACGATCTCTATTAACAACTATCTTCCTTATCAAGTGTCTACGTCGACTTTATCATCGGCCTCAAAATCTTGACGAATAAGTCGACGACCCATAACAATGACAATCAACGTGATTTTGCATGTTCGTCGGCTTCATCGTTGGTATCAAAATCATTAACATGATTCTTTCATATCCGTCGGCTTGACCATTATCCTCGAAAATAGCAATGATCAAGTCGAAGTTCTCCATCAATGACTATCTTCATTATGTAGGAGGTCCATCGACTTAATCATCAGTCTCAATATATCTTGATGAAGAAGTGGACGACCTCCTTCAATGGAGATTTACATAATTTAGCACATTCGTTGTGTGGAGCTCCGAATTTATATGACATCCCTGCTTAAGTAAAAACAGTAAAATGATTAGATGATATTTACTAGATACATATAACCATAACTTTAATCCATAAGTTGCTTGGAAAAAACAAAAACATGAAACTTATAATTCAAAAAGAGGGTTAAAATTGTTGGAGATTTTGATAACCTCTAAACACAATTATTGAAAATTTACTCACTCAACAACACACACAGCGGACAGTGCCGACCTTAGGGGGAGGCTACTAAAGCCCCAGCTTTAGGTCTCATATTATTTAGGGTCTCATTTTTTTAAAGATTTTATTTGCTATAATTATTTTTTTGAATTATTTTATAATAATTATTGAAAAGATAATAAAAAAACTATACTAACATAAACATTTTGACATGCAAAATTTGTTGTATTTTAGTTATCTTATAAATTTGTTATATCAAAATTTTAAAGTACATTAATAAAAAAAATTATTTATCTAAAAATCCGATTATTTAAGGGCCTCATTAGAATTTCGCTTGAGGTCTCAAGGTGCATTGAGCCACCTCTGACAGCGGAATTAAAGTAAACAACCAAGTAAAACACAACAAGAACCGTAACACAAATAACGTAGTTCAATCTCTCACAGATCTACGTCCACGGAACAATAATACATCTAGTAGTATAAGAATAGAAGAGTATACATAGTGTAGAGTATCGCTCAATACACAACTGTCTCTCTCACTCGATTCTACCCTTACACTCGCAAAGTGTTTCCCGCACTCACCCCACTATGTGCTCCGCAAAGAAAAAACACCATCTACAAAGAGTAGAAAATTTAAGAGGATTCTCAACTCAACTCAATCCTATTTTCTACTCCCCTCACTCAAGCTCTCTCTCAAGTGGCTACATCGTGCCTTCCTCCCAAATGATTATAGTACAAACACCTTCTATTTATGCTAAAACTAACACAAAAAACCAGACTAACCTATTGGACTTAAATAGGCCCATTACTCACTATCACGGGTTTGGGAATTTGAGGAGAAACCCAACAAAAATATATAGTTAAAAAGTAACACACAAAAATATATATAGAGTAGTGATAGATACAAAGAAAAAATGACAAGGAAAAATGATGAGGAATGAAGTGTCAAGATCTTAACTATGCCATGACCTTAAATGCATAAATCCTATTTGGAAAGTTTTAAAAATAGATGGGTGAGATTATTTCGTTATAATTTTTCCTTGTTATTTTTTCTTTGTACTAATCATTACTCATATATGAATATATAGTAATAATTAAAATATTTATTAGGAGGCATTTATTTATTTAAAGAGATTTATTATACTTAAATCTAAATTAGTCGAATTATATGAAAAATTTAATATGAACTATTTTTCGGAGACAGAAGTACTACTTATTTTAGAACCTTTGACCTCTCAAAAGAGAACTATGACTCTATGAGTACCATGCTCAAATCCGGATCAATTGGACAGATTAGCAATTCTTGCTTTATGGTGCTTGATGCGAGAACCAGGGACCATGCTCGAAATTAGCCAAAATGGACCATAAAATTAGTAGTCTAAATTTTAAAACCATGCATGTATGGAATCTTGATAAGTGAAATGTACATATATATTCATTCATTCACTCATCGATGTGATAATTTGAAAGACACATGGCGTGATGCTTGTCTTGTCCAATTGTCTCCACTACGGAGCAATGTTGTAGAAACTAGTATACTACTAGCTATATATTCTTCTTGGAATGGGATTTGAAAGGGGGAATAAGAGGGCTTTTTTTTTTTTTTTTTTTTTGGTATTTCTAGTTTTCTTTGCTCTTTTGAGTTTTGGACTTTAGCAGGCAGCAGGGCTGGTCAATAATTCCGCTGTTTTCACTTTGGATACACTCTCCAACACTTCGAACGGAACAATGTCTCCGATTACCACCACCATCTTGGTTTCCAGATCTACTTCGTATGAAGTTACTCCTGCACATCGAAAACATATTTAACATTCCCACCACTACACACACATGCAACTTAGAAATTCGTCCCAAAGAAAAAAGTCTAGTTGAACAATTGAAACAATGTTCTCGTCTGGGTAGAAAAATGTGTTTATTTAATTTGTACTCCGACAGGCCATATACTACTACTACTACAAACACATTTCCTAAAGTCGCACTTAAAAACTATTATTATGAGACAGTGAAAACTGAGAGTGATTTGTTTAAAAAGAGTTGTTGTGCTTAAAACTTGGACTCAAGAAAATGGTCGTTGATTTCCCGTATATCCGGAGTGTTGGATGGCATTTGCCGGGGAATTGTCCTGCATCCAGTGTTTGTTTTACAGGGAATCTTTGGGGCTGGTTAAAGACTAATCAATTCTTCTTCTTTTTTTTTAAATTAAACTGGAAATGTAAATTAATTTCCAAATAACTAGTAATATAATAAGTACCTTCAATCTTCTTAATATGCTTCTCCACTTTTCTTGCGCAGCCATTACAGTGCATGGAGACTTTTAGCACCACCATCTAAATCCATGATAAACAATAACACAATTATCAAGCTGGAACCAATTTTTGTCGGATCACATCTCAAGATAATGTAGTACGTAGTACACTCATCGGAATAAGCTTTATAATTCCTTAATAATCCCTCCCTCCCAACACTTGATTTTTATTCATTATTACTATTTTCACTTCCGTACCTTTCTTTTTTTTGAAACGGAGAGAGTATATGAAATGTTTCAATGAATGAACCTAACCATTCTAGATTTACTCATCATGCTCAGAGCAGCAAAACTACTTACACATGCTTCATATCTTATATATAAATCTCACACACTAGATCATCGCTTAAGTACTCACTTCTAGTTGATTTTGTCACATAATAAAACAAACCAACACTACAATGCAAATAAATGCAAACATAATAATGATATTCATACCACACTTTCAGTGATGATGATGATGATGAGAGACAACAAAAAAGAAAAGCTAAAAAAAACAAAAAAAAAGTGTAAATTATTACCTTAGGCTTCAATTGGAGAGCCAGAGTAGGAGGAGCAGAAATCACATCCCTGATTTTCACCAGTTGGCCAGTCTTCTCAGGAGCTGTGATCAGTGGCTTATTTTCCAACTCATGCTCTTCTCCTGATCCATACTGATGATTATTACTGAAACAGAGACAAGATCCTGACGACCCTGAAGAAGAAAGACACAAACTTCCCAATACTCTGCCAAACTTCAGCTTCCCCATTCTTCTAATTCTACCCATTATGGCCTCTCTGTTATTTAAACAAAGGGCAAGTGAAAATGAACCTAAAGGGCAGTATTAAATGAGGACAAAAAAAGAAGCTTAGCTAAGATAGCTTGTGAGAATTCAAAAACCCAATGGAGGAGGTAATCATGGTGAGAAAGAAACACATGATGTGAGTCTTGAGTAACCCATTTGCCCTCTTTTTTTTTCCCTTGCTTTCTTTCTTGGTAGATTAACTGAAAGTGGAATTTGGGTGAGACACAGAAGGAAAAGAAAGTGTGATGTATATCAACACCAACTATATATTTTGTCCTGTGATGAAGAAATAAAATTCTTCAACATCTTCATGTGAGGGGGTTAGTTCAGCTGTTTAAAAGTACCAAGTGATGTGAGACAATTTGTGCTTCATGTGACCATATGTAAATGGCACCATGTATGATATATAATTTGATAGCTATAACGTTTTTCCAAAGAAATGCCAGGGGAAAGAAGAAGGTCCACTGGCCTAATGGTATAATACTATAATGTACATTAGTGGGATGCTGTCTAAGCGGTTTGTCGTTACTATTTATAGACAGCTATTGGTTGTCTCAAAAATCTTGATAAAATTCAATCAGCTATTTCATACACGTATTTAATATTGTCTAATCTAATACATAAACAGTCTCTTTATAGAAAATAATACAAATAAGACCGTGTATAACTCCTCCTTTTATGTCATTGCAAAGTGAGAATCTCTTTGACAAGAGGAGAAACAATATTGAGAAGGAAAAAAAAAAGATATCTATAAATATTTATTGGATTGTCTGATATAAGTCATAATAACTATATTACAACTTATGAATGCATTATTATAATTGTAAAAAATGATTTACCCAGTTTGACATAACAATATTCAATCTTTATATTACTACGGAAACTCGAGTATAACAATAATGAGATCATAGAATATTGCTTTTATGTCACCAAAACGAAAAAGTGTTTTATACCCAAAAAAATGTATAAATTGGAATGGTTTCCGTCCCTCTAATGTTGGCCCTTTATTTGTTCTGATAAGATAATTTCATTTGGTTGATCTGCACTTTATTGAAATCGAACTCTATAAAATGTACTACTACTATTCGATCATTTGTTTGACGGTCATTAAGAAATTTGCCAATGATTGTCGGCTTATATATGTGATCTTTACACACTCAAGTAGGAGACTAGCAGTAGCAGTTTTCAAAGATCATATAAAAAAATTGAGTGGCCTTTTGAAATTTGTTATATCAACAGTGGTCATATTCACACTAGTCATAGTCAGATAAGATGATAGTTGGGTGGTGCCTGGTTTACCAATAGAATGGATGGGAATGGAATGAATTGGAATGAATTGAATCAAACCGGGATTGAATCAATATGCTTGGTTACAATTCTATTTGTGATGGGATTCAGTTTGTGTATTGTGTGCCATTAATCAATTTGTGTATTTTACTAAAATCTTAGCATACTTCATAACTTTTGACACTTTAAAGTTTAAATAATATGAATGTATCCACAATCTTCTACATTAATGCAAAAATATCTTAACCTATATTCCAATTAAATAATAATTCCTATATAACAGAAAAAAATTGGTCAATTCAATAAAGGTCTAACCATAAATTACCATATATTTTTAATTTTTCAACTTAAAATAGTAATTTACATATATTTTTGTTATAAAATAATGCAAATGAGTTAAAAAAAATTTAATTACATTTTCTTTATGGAATGTCCATCTTACCTCTACTATCATTGAAAAAAAAATAGATATAACCAAATCAAAAGAGGTAATTGAATGGGACGGTAAAAATAGATAATTACCTCAAGAGATTTGAATTTAAAGAATTTGTTTGAATAACTCAATTTAAAAGAAAATGAAGCCAAAATTATATTAAAATTACTAAAGATCTAGTTTTTATTCTTATTCTTATTATAAAGCAAGAGACCCCAAATGAATAGTAGTTTCGTCGTTGGAACTACCACATATATTAGTGGGGGTATTTGTGTCATTTCAGCGTAAAGCCTAATCAACAATCTTTTTCATGAAATTTTTTAGACTTCCAGAAAAAGCCCAGAATAAGAGACAGCTACTAATCACATTTATTATCTTCCTTCTGAACAATTTAAATATGCATCATGGTTTAACGAAAAGAAGAAAAGTATGCATCATGGTTTAACGAAAAGAAGAAAAGTATGCATCCTGGTTTTTTTTTTAATTTTAAATTTTAAATTTTTGTCACATACTTACATTTCCTATGAAAAGAATTAATTAGATAATGTAGTTATTAATATTTCTTAAAATCGTAAAATTTTTTTGATTAATCAATTTTAGATCAAAATGAGAGGTATTGATATTATTTATGAGATGTATATTTGTAAGATCTGGTCAAAAATATTACAACAAAAATTTTGAAAAGTTATATAATAAAAATTGTCACCACTAACTAATGTTATGTTTGGATTAAAAAATATATTAAAAAATACGTAAATTATGTCTAGATGGCTATGACTTATTTATAGGCAAGGGGACTTTGGGGATTAGACATAATTAATCGTTCTTGAAAATGTAAAATCGATAAAATTGAAGACAAAGTAGCACATAAATAGAACTTTAAGGGCTAAAATGATAATAAGTTAAAAGTGATGCTTGATGATCTCAATTAGCGACACGTGTCGATTATTTTTCTTTCCTTTAATATATATAATGATTCTTAAGCTAGGATCAAACAAATTCTATCCCAAAATTTCAAAATTATAGGGATACATAATGAACAAAGTTCACGCGTTGTCGCGTGGGCATGATAATCCTAGTCTACTACTGTATTAAAAGCAAGAGCCTAAAAAGCTACAGGAACTTTCGTCGTTGTACCATCCACAATTGAAGGGAGGGCAATTCTATCAATCTCCTAAAAACTCATGCCTAATTACTTTTTTTTAGATTTATTTTATTCAAAAAAATCTCATTTCTTCCATAATCTAGACTTTTTCGGTCTTTCTCCCCTGTTTGCCTAATCACTGTTGAATATTATCTCTCCATCCCTTTCGCCCAATCCAGACTCTTCTTCTCTATGGTATAAATATAAATCTCACCTATTAGAATTTAGACGGCAATAGAAGAATATCTTCCGACTCTGGGCATCTACTCCTAACCGTCACAAGGTTTCGTTGACCCTTTCCGAGAAGTCTCTTACTTTTTTTTATATCCTTGCCGTCGGCAACTGAGACAATGCCGGTAAGTGGCTGTGACGTGGAGGAGAAAATGCCACATAATTCATAGTAATAACCTTTTCAACGTCCAGAGTTCCTAATTTTAGCTCATTATACGTGATAAAATTCACATTTGTAATACAAATTTATGCTTGAAAAGTTGAATTTTGATTATTAATTTATTATGAAGCCCTTATTTGACTATAATGTAAAGACATGGAGATGTCAAGAATGTTATCGGTCTATGACTCTGTAGTTTATAATACGTTTAAAATAAATATTCTTTTAGATCACTTGGTTCGCTCAATAAAGGTGGCAACATCAATGGAAATTTTACTGCGAATTCAAGACCACATAATAAAAACATTACCAAAATATGAAAATAGAATTTTCCTACTAAATGCCAATATGGTGATATAGTAGAATATTAATCTCTATAGTCTAAAATACTTTTTTTTTTTTTTGCATGTTGCAGCTGTAGACAATAGTGACTAATCATTCTCGCTCATGGTAGGCATCTCGATGAGTGAAAGAGCTAGCCAAAAAATTTAAGGTTGGTCCATGTCCATTGCGAAGTTCGAACTTTCGATTTATGGTAAAGAATACTTTTCTTTTCCTTGTTTTTAATGATCTCTCAATAATGTTTGATAGATGAATGCAAAAGACATCCATAATATATAACTTCCAAAGTTCACTACTTCACCTACTGACATTTTCAATCAGACATTAGGAATCGATAATTAATTAATCAGACTCCCTAAGATAGAGTCTTCTTTACCTTGCTATACTCCGATATTTATTCTTTTTAATATTCGTTTAATTTTTTACCACATATTTATACACAGTATTCTCTTTCAATTTATTATTTTTTTGACTTGTTCTGTTTGAAGAACTAAGTATATCGTTGATGTACAAATTATACAAACTATTGCATTGTTCTGTAATCATATTTAGCATTACGAAAGCTCAAACGTAGCGTGGGCAGAAGATAACTAGTATGATATAATTTGAGGCAAAACAGAACTGTAGCACTTGTCAAATTCTTGTCTTTGGCTATCAATTTTTGTACCCCTGCAAAAGGCAAATAAAAAAGGTCCACATTGAGTGAATTGTGGTATGTGATTTGTGAAGTTTATTGCATTATTGGCCGACTGCTTCTACATATTTATATTCCAGTTTAGTCATTGTGGGTTCTTTTTCTTATTGTCATCAGGCTGGTCCATGTGACATATATGATTGTGGAGAAGAAGAATACAGTTTCCAAAAGCCAATTATGAAGTCATGAATTCATATTTCATACTTGCATATATTTCTTGTCTCTGTACGCTCTTGTATCTCACATGACCGACCCTTCTTCATTAGTTGGAAATTATTCAATTAAAATGTCTTCTCATGGTGGGTTCATCTAATTTAAAGTATTCGCCACTACAATCACCTCGAAACTTTCTAAATTTTTGTCATGATGATCTTTTAAAACTGTATAAACATGTCACATTTACGCGATTGGTGAAATCAAGCTTCTAATTTTTAACATATCAAGTATGACAATTGTGCTAATTGGACGATTTTATAATAGACTAAATATAATTTGACATTTCAATCATGGTAAAAAAAAAAAAAAAAACAAAGGAATTTTCGTCACTTGCTCGTTGAACATTACTCCTGCCCTCTTATTGCAAACTATTAGCAAGATCGTATAGACTATAGAGAGTATAGACACGAATTCAAGAGAAGAGAACCTTATAAAGTGAGAGAAGCTCTCCTAATCTTCTATCAATATCTATAGTAAATATATATGTAGGTTTAACTAATCAGTAATAAGACAAATCGCCGCACCATTATCTACCACATGCGTCAAGTTTTAGTTTGGATACTTTGTTATAGTGAATTGTGATCTCTTTATTAATTTTAGCGAATAAATGTAGTATAGAGGGGGTGCATTAGCCGCGGTTGCACTTATAGTTAGCAACCTATTGCATAAGTTATATAAACTTAATGGCATATTTTAGTGCAGAAATTCAGGAGTCAGCAACTAAAGAAATTGCGAAACCAATCCAAAAGGCATATATATGGCATCTTTCTGGTTTGCTTTGACTCCCAACATCTGTTCGGTCTATTGCCTTCACATGCATGCTTGATTGATTCTTATAATTAAATTTAGTTTACTTTTCATTTTTCATTATTAGGAAACTGTTGTGTTTATTATGGTAGTATGAAATTGTTGAACAAATTAATTTGGTAAACATAGAGGATATGATTCTGCATTGTGTTAAATTATGTATGGAATAGAAATATT